CAAGTGAGGGGTTCCCTCTCACGGGCTGACTCTGGGACGCACGTCGCTCTCACGTTGCTGCTGCGGTTTCCGGAAGGCTTAACTGGGCGGATAGGATCTCGTCTGTTTAATCTGAAGTGGTTGCAGTATTGGCGCGTTTGAGCGTGTGTGTGTGTGTGTGTCTGTGTGTGTGTGTTACATGAAAGTAGATGCAGGCAGCTGTGCAGTGGTGAGAGCCTTTGTGCTCAGATTCCATGAGTTTGTTAAGTAAACATTATATCTGGCGAGAACCAGGAAAGGACAGGTCTCTGGGTGAGGGAACGGCCACACTGACAGACTGTGAGTCTGGCTGCAGCTGTGCCCCCCCCCCACAATTGGCACCTGGAATGCTTTTTAGAAACTGCCCTGTGGGTACTACACACAGCCCCACAGGGTTTCCAAGATTGTAAATCTTTATGGAAGCACACGCCCTCTTCTTTCTCCCATGTAAAGCCTGGTGAGTTCCAACTGCAGACCTTTCAGTTGGCCAAACACTTAACCTCTGTGCCACCAGGGCACCTTAAAGTAACAGCAGCAGTCTGCAAGGCTGGTGGGAAACCTCAGGGCAGTGAGTGTGTGATCTTGGGGAGGAACCGCTCAGAAGGGGGGTGAGCATGTGGTACAGAAGTCTCCACAGATGCACAGGCACACGTTCACTGATGATAAACCGGGAAGTGCCACATGGGGAACGAGGTTCTGTGGAGATGAGCTGTGTATCAGTGGATCCCGGTTCCGAGATGCACGCAGCCTGGTTTGTTGCAGATACTACACCCCTATTCCATCTGTGTAAGTGATGTACCACGGAGTGGGTCATGAGTGGGGGAGGCAGTAGGGAGTGGTGCGGACTGGCGAGGGGAATGCCCACTAGAGGGCAGTGCCTGCCCGGCTTCAGCAGTCAGTGGTCCTGTGAGAGTGTGGGCCAGTGCTCCCAGACCTGCCATCTTTTCAAAGAAGGCAGAAGCGGATCTTACGAAAGTGAAATCCACCCCCACGACATTCATTGACACTGATTGCGTTCTTTGGGCTGTGGGACCTTGCTCACCCCCTTTTTCCAAATTCTCCCCCCCATTGACATGAACTCCCTGCCCCTAAGCTTCCTGTCCAGCCTTTCGATGGAAACGTTGCTGTTACCAGTTTGATCCCGTCCAGATTGTCGTTTACAAGAGGCCAGTGCTCCAGGCAGACATTCTTCCCTCCTGAAGCTAAACTGTTGTTTGGTTTGAAGGAGACTCGGGGGTAGTTTCGGTTTAAGGTTTAAAGATGATCCCAGGCAGTAGTTTCAGGGGTTCATCCAGCCTCCCTGGCTCCAGCAAGGCAGGAGTCTGTGAGAATTTGAAATTCTGTTCTGTATTTCCCCCCTTTGATCAGGATTCTTCTATAGAATCTTTGATCAAAACATTTGGTAACAGTAACCACTCCCTTTCCAAAGCGGCCCTCTGATCCTTATACCCACGGAGGACAACCCAGTCTGGTGGGTGCAGGTGGATCCCTACTTAGTGCCCTTATTTCAGGGACCAGCCACTGTACTCCGCTGCCTGGGGTCAGGCAGAAGCCCACCAGGGCCAGGCCTGTAGCAGGTCACTGGCCCACAGCGACCAGGAGAGTATGTGCCGGTTCCCAGGGAGCCCTCCTCAGGCCCAAGCAAGGGAGGCTGTGTAGGGCGTGGGTTTGGCATTAATGGATCTTGCAAATTTTCAAAAGAGCAGGATACCTCACTTTGTCATGTGAGACCTCCCTCCCCCAACAACAGCAAAACAGACACACACAACTTTGTACTGTTTGTGGCTCATTCAACTTTAAAAACTCTGAGCAGGTGACACTCAGCACAGCCGAGTGCAGGGGAGGATCCACGGCCTGTAACTAATCCCCGAAACTGTGGGAGAGGGGGACAGCAGGGCGAGTGGGAAGAAAGGCAGCCGGAATCCGGGGGCTGGGGGGTGTGGACCAGTGAGGAGAGAGCGACTCCTGCTGCCTCTTGGCAGTATGCTCAGGAGGACGATGTACGCCGTAGCCAGGCCCTGGCCCCAGGCCCCGATTCTGTTCCTGCAGATTCTTTTTCATTCCCTCTCCAAGGAAGAGAACCCCAGGGGACAGCTGTACCCAAACCTCCGAGCACGGGCCTCCCCAGGGAACCACATGCTGCAGGGCAGGCTGCCCCTCCCGCGCCCAGCCTCGCTAACCAAGAGCTGACAACAGGCTCCTTTCTTCAGAGCCACGTCCAGTGGGATGTCTTCCTTGCGCAGCTCCCTTAGTTATTCACCTGTAACTTCCCTAGGGTGCCAGCCATAGGCACTGTGGTCAAAGAATGGTCCTTTCATTCAAGAATATTTACAGACCGTCCCTAGCAAAGGAGAACGTTTGGACCAGAGTGGCTGCAGATTAGACCACTGTGACACTGTGGCCCGTAGGGTTCTCATTGGCTCATCTTCTGAACTAGATCCCCAGGCCTTTCTTCCTGGTTCATCTCAATCTGAAAGCTCTCCTGCAACCTGGTTGGCAGTATAGCAGCATGCAAGCCTCCACTGCAGAGGGGTGGTGTGCGCTCGAGGGACATTGGCCGGGGTCAAAACCAGGACTCCACGTGGTAGGGAGAATGTTACCACTGAGACACTGCTGTCCTCTTTTCCGTTAGCAGACACTTATTGATACCCTCTATATGTTGGAAGGAGCTCTGGTAGCATAGCGCCTGAGGCACTTGACTGCTAACCAAAAGGTTGGTGGTTCAAATCCACCAGCTGCTCCACTGAAGGAAGATGAGACAGTCTACTTCCATAAAGATTTAGTGCCTTAGAAACCCAGTGGGGGTCGCTGGGAGTCGGAATCGACTTGATGGCAGTGGGTTGGGTTTTTTGGTTGTATGTTGGAAAGTCTTTGGCAACTTTTAAGCCGAGAGCACTTCCCCATCTTGTCTTGTGCGCAGGTGTTTTTTCCTGAAACATTCTGGGCATTGTGGGTCAAAGTTACTGCTCCATTTCACTCAGAGCTATTCTTGTTTTATTTGGATGCCTACCACAATGTGTACAAAGACAGTATCCAGCGGTGTGATGAAGTATTTCAGTTAACAGACTTTATTTGGCATGTTTTTTAAATATTTCTGATTAAAACATTTGATCCAGTTGCTTTTTATAGCAGTTGGAACTGAGGGGGTGGGGAGTTTTGTTGGCTGATTCATTTGTGTGTAGTTGTTTAAAAAAAAACTCATCTTAGTCACAGTAATCCAAACAGTGTAGTGCTGCCATGAGGATGGACCGCTATAGATCAATAGAGTTGAGTCCAGAAATAAACCCTCACACTTGGGATCATTTGATATTCAACAGAGGCCCCAAAGGCAGTTCAGTGGAGAAGTGCTAGCCTTTTCAACAAATGGTGCTGGGGCAGTTGGGTCTCCACGTGCAAAGAGTTTCTGGGGAGCCCTGCCTCACATCACACACACTGAGTAATTCTAGTAGATGTGTGACCTCCCTGCCAGAGCTAAAACCATGCAACGCTGGGAGAGGACAGGAGTAAACCTTCATCATCTTAGGTGAGGCAGGGCTCAGTCAGCTGCAACACCAAAAGCACAAATGATAGAAGATTAAGCTAGATCAGGTAGACTTCATGAAAGTTAAAATATTGTGTGCTTCAAAGGATGTGATCAAGAAAGTGAAAATATAAAGAACTCTTACAGCTTGGTAAGAGAAAGACAAATAGCCCAGTTTAAAAAGGGGCAAAAGGTCTGAATAGACATTTCCCCATGAAATATACAAATAGCCAAAAAGCTTGTGAAAAGATAATCGACATCATTAGTAATTAGGAAGGTGCAGATAAAAACCTCAGTGAGATACATTCACAGACACAAAGGTGAGTATCATCCAGACAAAAGCAAGTGTTGGCAAGGATGTGGAGAAATTGGAACACTCATGCATTGCTGGTAGGAATGTAAAATGGTGCATCTTGGGAAAGCAGTTTGGCAGTTCCTCGGGGAGGTAGTTGTCAAGTTAGCATTGACCCAGCCGTTTCTTCCCCAGGTAGCAATCCAAGGCAGGTGAAAGGCGTGGCCACACAAAAACTAGGTCCTGAGTGTTCTAGCAGCAGCATTCCTAATGGGCAGAAGGTGGGAACAGCGCAAATGCCTGTCAGTGAGGAATAGAAGAATAAAATATGGTCTGTCGTGCAGTGGAGTATTATTCATCAGTAAAAAAGAATGAAGTACTGAGACAAGCTGCAACATGGAGGAGCCTTGAAAACATTATGCTAATTGAAAGCAGTCAATCCCAGAAGACCACATACTGCCTGGTTCCAGTACCTGAAATGTCCAAAACAGGCAAATCCATAGCAACAGAAAGCAGTGTTGGCCAGGGACTGGGGACAGGGCACTGAGGAGTGACTGCTCATGGGCATGGGGGTTCTCTCTGGGGTGCTGAAAATATTCTAGCGTTAGATTATGGTGATGTTTGACAGCTAGTAAGCCCGAGTTGTGTACCATAAGCAGTGAGCGTGCTCGTGCATAACTGGTGTCTCTATGGAACCGTTTTCCCAAAGGCATGTCAGTCAGGAAATACGATCAAGCCTGCCTTTGAGAGCCTCCTCTTAGCATCCCGTGTTCTAAGCAGGCAGTGCGCTGCCAGCCGAGGGGTGCAGCGTGATTTCTGCACCACTCCCCCTCCCGCAAGAAGGAAAGTAGGCATGGGAGCCTCTTAGCAGTTGAGGGGTGCTGGGAACCCTCCCAGAATCCAAGTTCTCAGGCTCCAGCCAAGGACCAGCCCCACAGATGGGCCCTTTGAAGGCCAGGTTCTCAGCCCAGCAAGGCTGACTCTTTTCTGCATACAAGGGCTTCAGAACCAGGCCTTTGACGTGCACGCTGGCTCAGCCAGGGTGGAGCAGGGAAACCGATAAGAATTGACCAGGAGCTTGAGGGGCAGAGGATGGGGCTCCAGGCGGTCTGGGGGTGGTGGCCCACTCCCCACGCTGATAGCATCTTTCCCTCTCCTGTGCCCCTGCAGTGCGGCTCTGCGTTCCAGGAGGAGGATGTCATCGTGCTGAACGGCACCAAGGAGGACGTGGAGCTGCTGAAGACCAGGATGGAGGAGAGAAGGCTGAGAGCGAAGCTGGGGAAGGTATGGAGTCTGCCATGGAGTCGGGCGCCCGCGTCTCCCTGCCACCGCCTCCATCCCAGAGCCCATCGCTAAGCCCCAAGTGGAGTTAAAGCCAAGTTCAGGGTTGTTATTGTTGTTGTTATGTGCCGTCGAGTCGGCCCCGACTCACAGCGACCCTTCCTTGGGTTTCCGAGGCAGTATCACTACGGAAGCAGGATTGCCCAACCTTCCTTCCGAGGAGTGGCTGGTGGGTTTGAACCGCCAGCCGTCTGGTTAGCAGGCAAGTGTCTTAGCCACTATGCTACCAGAGTTCAGGGTAGCGTAGGAGAAAACTTGACATGACCAAAACTGAGGTCAAATGATGCCTGGAGTGTTAGAAAATGAGGCTCACTGTTCCGAGGACGTAAAACTGGGAGCAGTCCCCGCCTCTGTACAGTGGTGCTGAGCGGTCTAAAGGGAGAGCGTTGTAATAATTTCAGCTCCCGATAGAGGAGCGTGCAGGACTGTGTCCCCTGGCGATGACGGCACTCCCAGCGTGAGGCGTCAAGGATGAATCCTTTCGTGTGGTCCTGCCGTGGACCCAAGGCTGTTGGAACGAGCCCAGCCTCGGAGTGCAGCCTCCTTTAGTCGTTGTACTGATGTGGCATACGAAGGAGCGTGCGCCTTTGACACGAGTGCCACCAGACGTGTTCTGTGGGGCGTTCGTGGGACCGAGTTAGGGAGTCTCTCACTCCTCTGTGCGCCTTTGACGTGAGTGCCACCAGACG